TTAGAAGATGATTAAAATCTAAAAGGGAGAAACAAGTCTACTTGTTTTTAAATTTCCGGGTCATATCAGAACAAGGTGGGACTTGCGGGGTTCCAATGCAATGCAGATAGGGGCCTAACAGAATGAATTATGAATGATTTGGGGTCGGATTATAAACTTCAGAAACTTCAGGACGGAATCACAAACAAGAGAGAAAAAAAAAAAAAAAAAAAGAGGGACCGAAATTATGAATTAAACACACGATCATCTTCTTCAATCAGGCTAAATGCTCGCTGCCATGTTTTTAGACGAAGAACACCAGAAAGCTCAACTTCAGATTCCAAAAGAAACTCTCACACGAATTCCATCTCAATCCCTCTCATGCCATATTATTTTGGGTTTACAAAACACGAGGGAAGGGAAAACAGAAAAAGATGCACTAAAATTTATCCAAACGTGAGGAAACGGATTGGCCGACTTAGCCAGTTCCTTCACACAAGAAGTGCAACAAAATCTTTCAACAAAAGTTTTCGGCTAGACATTTCATCGAACAGATTGGGGGCACTAAAAGCTTCACCAATTCTTTGATATATTGAAACTATGACCGGCCCAAAATTATTCAGAAACAAAATTTCAGTCACATTAATCTCATAAGAGCACGCACGATCAAAAGAATGACGGGCAATCAATCAAGAAACTCGCAACAACCAATTCACGGAATCATGCTTGGGGTTGGGGATTTTTCCAGAACTTGCATTTGAAGAAGCAAAACTGAAATTCAAAGGAACGTAGCTACTTACCGTACTCCTTCTCAGTGAATGTTCGCCGGTGATGGTGGTAATTTCCGGCGAACGGCGTCTGCTCCCATTCCTCCGCCATCCACTTTCTCTGTTTCCCTCAACCTCCCGAAGCTTTCTTGCGTTCTTCTTGCCAGTAGGTTCTTGTCCGCCGCCCCTCCGTTTCTCGTTGTGCACATATTTTCTGGGCAAAGATTTGCCGATGGCAGTGGACTCGATGAGGTGGGGGTGGTGGCTCCTCGTTGGTGCAGCAGCTTCGGCTACTCTGTTTTTTCTTTCTCTATCCGTTTCTGTTTTTGCCCGTTGCCCCTATTCTCTCAATCCCAGCTCTTTCTGTTTTTTCCTTTTGCTTTCTTTATGTCTACCCCAAGCCTCCCCTGTTATTTCCAACCCTTTTTGCTCTCCCCCATTTCCATTTTTCTGTTTTGCCCGTAACCTCCTTAGCCGAAGCCCAACTTCCAGATTTTCCTCTGTTTTTTTTTTTGGCTTCCCACTCCCAAAGCTCAAAACCTCTCTTGCGTTTTTTAATTTTTCCTTTTTTACCACTTAGCCGCTTTCCCCCCCCCCCCTTTCTGTTTTCGGCTCCTCTCCTTTCAATGCCTTCCCCAAAAACTAACCCTAAAATGAAAGGTTCAGATCTCATCCTCCAAAAATAGTCTTATGTGCAAAAATAAAATAGAATAAGATGAAGTTAAACCCTAACACCGAAAACAAATTGAATTAAAAATTAAATGATTGAAGTTTAATTTAAATGATAAAATGACTTAAAAAAATAAAAATAAAAATAAAAATAATCAAATAATAGAAATAATAGTAAACAAAATTTCTTAAAAATTTGGTGTCTACACTAATTGTAAGACAAACATTAAAATTAAATATTAAAAATTGTTGATTTGTAACAACTTAATAATTAGTTTCAATCGCATCTGATAGGGTGCAGTTTAGTGGGATATTTTGGGTAATATTGCCCAATTGTTTAACTAAATATTGTATTAATTGAGTGAATTCTACTCAGATATGGTTTTGGTGCTAATTGCAGGAATTGATGCTGAAAAGTGCTTAAAATCAAAATTCAGAGGATTCGTCGTACGTGCGGCACTTCAAGCAGTGGGGTCCGCTTGAGAAATTGAAGAAATTAAATTGTAATAGATTTTATTTTAATTTATTTAGGGAGTTTTGTTTCTTTGAATAACAATTTCCGATAAGAGGAAATCCCTTCCTTGAATTTCGGGGCTACCAAAACAAAAGGGAAGAAGTATTAGACAGCGAGGAGGTCAGCTTGGTTAGGGGGATTTTCGTTTTTGGCTTTGCACTTCGTTTTTGGGTTTTGCTATGCCTTGTAAACAACCAGCAGACAAAAGCCACCATTGTTGACCTTGTGAATTGTTTCATATATTTCGAATTCGGTAATGGAGTTTTTCAAATCGGAATTCGAATTCCGATTTCGATTTCAAATTCGTTTTTAATACATAAATATATTTTTGTACATGTAATATAACATTTATACTATATAATATTATATAAAATTTATATTATATTATATTATATTATATTATAAATTTTATATTATATAATAATATATAAATTGTTCCGAATTCGGTGAAATCGGAATTTACTGAATTTCGAATTGAATTCGGAATTGGTGAATTCGAAATCGAATTCGGTTGAATTATAAGCTACCAAAATTTCGAAAAATTCCGAATTCAAATTTTCGAATTACCGATTTCGAATTCGATGCACACCCCTAAATTGAGCTGCCATTGTTGACTATTGATTCTTGCTTTTACTTTTGCTTGACCGATACAAAAGAGAGAAACCAGACTCCTTCGTACGCCTGCTTTGGAAACAAATCGAGAGTACGAAATCCCTTGTTCTTTTCTTTCTTGGGTTGACCGATTCTAAAAACAAGAATTGATGGCTCTGGGCAGACATATTCGCATGGGTTGCTCTCTAATTATGGAGAACTAAATCCCTAATTCTAGGCAAGGGGGTAACTGACGAATTGGTTCGACAATTACTGTGAGATCTAAATCGCTTTTAATTATTTCTTTCATTTATTGGTATTTATATGTTTCCTATTTTTAATTGTTATAACTCTTGTGTATGATTGATTAGTGCGCAATAATTAATTATTCATCTAGGCTATTTTGCTAATTAGAGGTAATTGAATCCGTAATTGTTCGAATATCTCTATCTCAGTAGTAGATGGCGTAATTGGGTTTATGTCAGGGAAACATATGATCTAATTTAAATAAACCCTCGTAGCATATTTGTTGGTTAGGATTGGGTCTTTTTAATTATTAATACAATTTAGAGATTAAATCCTACAGTCGTATCTAGGGTTATTTTTTTGTTAGAGAAATAGTTAACGGTCGTACCTTAACTATTGAGAAATTAAGGAAGGGTTGGTTGTTTATCGCGTGTATGACAACTATAACCAATTTATTAATAAATGTTGGAATTATTTGGAAATCAATGATCAGTGCCTGAACCATTTCTGAAGTGTACCCTTGGCTAGAGCTCTCACAATTATTTCTTTTAATTAATTATTTTCTGCATTTAATTTATTTAGTTAGCATTTAATCTTGAAAACCCCCATTTGTCTTGACTCAGAGGGAAATAAATTTCTCTCCAATCCCTGAGGAGACGACCCTACTTGCCACTGTCTGCTAACTAGTGAATTTAGTCAGATAATTAATTTGGGTATATCAGATTAAGCAAACTCTTCGTGAATAGGGTGAATCAAGTAACTCATTGCACACCTAGAGTCTCTACTCCAGTACCTAAAATTGATTATTGACTACTTTTGGTGGTAGTTAGGTTTTATTTATTATTATTGCACAGGTTTAGCACCTGTCAATTTTTTATGCCGTTGTTGGGGACTGGCGTTTGAAATATTTATTTCTTTTTTAATTCAATTTTGTTTTGGTATTTTTACTAGTTTATACCTCGTTCTTCTATCACAGGTGAATTGATATATGACCCTGAGATTGAGAAGGCAGCACGTAGGCGAAAGCATGAGACTAGGAGACGAAAAGAAGGGCAATCATCTACTGCAAACGAGTCAGTAGAGGACGAATATAGTATGGCAAACAACCAAACACTAAGGGAGTTAGTTGCCCGGGAATTGACTCACCAGCCCTTGTGCATCACATTCCCAACTTTGGCTGAGAATACCGCCTTCGAGCTGAAGTCGGGGTTGATCCACCTCTTACCCTCGTTCCATGGTCTCTCTGGTGAAAAACCCCACAAACACGTCAAGGAATTCGAAATGGTTTGCTCGAGTATGAAACCTCCTAGGATTATTGAAGAGCAAATTAGATTAAGAGCATTCCCTTTCTCTCTCAAGTATACAGCTAAAGATTGGTTATACTACTTACCCGCAGGTAGTATTACCTCATGGGCACAGTTGAAAAAGAAGTTTTTAGAAAAAATTTTCCCTGCATCCCGGGCTGCGAGTTTGAGGAAGAAAATATGCAGTATTAAACAGTATCTCGGGGAGTCCTTATATGACTATTGGGAAAGGTTCAATAAGTTGTGCACTAGATGCCCGCATCATCAAATTAGTGAACAACTGCTGATCCAGTACTTCTATGAAGGGCTCCAGTCCACTGACAGGAGTATCATTGACTCTACGAGTAGAGGAGCACTAGCAAACAAGACACCAAAGGAAGCGTGGGAGCTTATCGAAGTCATGGCAGAAAACTCTCAGAAGTAACCGTTAGAGCAACCCCACCCGTAGAGTCAACGAGGTAGAGATTTCATCCATACAGTAGCAACTGTTAGAGTTAACGTCGGTTGTTAGGCAATTAGCCCTGGAGAATACGCAGCAAGCGAAAGTATGTGGAATCTGTACAAGCATGGACCACTATACAAACACATGTCCCCTTTTGTAAGAGGATGGGGCGGAACAGGTAAACATGGTCGGAGGCGTGCCCGTACCCTGCAGGCAGTATGACCTGTACTCCAACACGTACAACCCCGGTTGGAGAGATCATCCCAATTTCAGTTATGGGAACAGGTCACAAAATTCATTTTCAAATCGTCCACCAGAATTTCATCAACCATGGCAACCAAACCCTCAACCTTCATCCTCCAACTCAGGAAGCTCTTTGGAGGATATTGTCAAGAGTCTGGCCACGACTACCACTCAACTCCAGCAAGAGACTAGACAGCTCCAGCAAGAGACTAGATCCTTGGTCACGTGCGCAGTTCCAGTAGGATATGGAGACTCAAATGAGCCAAATGGCAATTGCCATTAATCGCCTGGAGTCCCACATTTATAGCAAATTGTCATCACAACCCGAGGTAAATCCCAAGAATGTAAGTGCTATGACACTGAGGAGTGGCAAGAAAGTGGAGGGACCTAAAGAAAGTTCGAAAAGTAAAAGTGAGGAGGAGATAGAAAAGGAGATTGAAGAGAAAGGATGCATTCGCGAGAACCCTAAGGTAACATTCACTCCTCCACCCCCTATTAAATCTAATTTACCTCCTTTTTTTTGCAGGTTGGAAAAGACAAAGAAAGTAGAGAAGGAAAAAGAACTTTTGGATGTGTTCCGAAAAGTGGAGATCAACATCCCCTTATTGGATGCAATCAATCAGATACCAAAGTACGCCAAATTTTTGAAAGATTTGTGCACCCACAAAAGGAAGTTACGGGATGATGAAAGAGTGGCGGTGGGAGAAAATGTGTCAACTATACTCCAAAGGAAACTCCCACCAAAGTGTGGGGATCCAAGTATGTTCACAATTCCTTATAAAATAGGAGGTACCCCAATTAGGAAAGCGATGTTGGATTTAGGGGTGTCAATAAATGTAATGCCTAAGACTATTTATGGGTCTTTTAATGTTGGGCCATTAAAAGGCACGGACATTATAATCCAACTAGCAGACCGTACCAATGTTTATCTAGAGGGGTTGGTTGAAAATGTCTTGGTACAGGTCAACGAGTTAGTTTTTCCCGCAGATTTTTATGTCCTAGATATGGGGGATGAAAGGTCATTAAATCTATCGCCTCTTTTGTTAGGTAGACCATTTTTAAGCAATGTTAGGACAAAAATAGATGTGAATGAGGGTACTTTGTAAATGGAGTTTGATGGTGAAATTGTAAATTTCAATATTTTTTATGCGATGAAATACTCTGAGAAATCTAACTCTGTTTTTGATTTGAGTGTTATTGACCCTCTTGTACAGGAAACATTTGAACTGGATGGGGAGGACGCGTTGGAAGTGGCTTTGGCGAAGTATCTTGAGTTGGGAGCAACTCTCAGTGTGAAAATAAGTGATGAGTTGTATCATGCGGTTGAAGCACTCCACTCACTTCCACCAATTTCCTCAAGGTATGAGATCCCTTCTGTATTTGTACCTGAAACTCAGACGAAATTGTTGTCTTCTGTTGTGCAGGCATCTGAACTGGAGGTTAAACCCCTCCCAAAGCACTTGAAGTATGCATTTCTTGGGGACAAGTAGACACTACCGGTGATAATATCTGCACACCTGTCATCTAGCCCAGAAGACAACTTGGTTCGTCTTCTTCGAGATCATAAGCAGGCGATTGGGTGGAGTATAGCAGACATCAAAGGAATTAGCCCGTCATTATGCATGGACCGGATACGGCTTGAGGATGATGGAAAATCTGTAAGACAGACGCAGCAGAGATTGAACCCACTAATGATGGAAGTGGTAAAGAAGGAGATACTTAAACTCCTGGAAGTGAGAATCATCTTCACCATCTCAGACAGTCCATGAGTGAATCCAATTCAAGTAGTCCCGAAAAAAGCGGGAGTAATGATAGAAGAGAATCAAGAAGGTGAGATGGTCCCAGTGAGAAAACCCACAGGATGACACCAGTGCATCGACTACCGACGTTTGAATGCAGTGACAAAAAATGATCACTTCCCTCTCCCATTTATTGATCAGATGATAGAAAGGTTGGCTAGTCGTGTTTACTATTATTTTCTTGATGGCTTTTCAGGATACTTTCAAATCGCGATAGCACCGGAGGACCAGGAGAAAACCACATTCACCTGTCCATTTGGCACGTTTGCCTACCGGAGGATGCCTTTTGGTCTCTGCAATGTTCCAGTAACTTTCCAGATGTGTATGGTAAATATATTCTCCGAATATATAGAGAAAATTATTAAGGTGTTTATGGATGATTTTAGTGTATATGGAGATAGTTTTGAATAATGCCTTGAAAATTTAGCCGTAATTTTGAAACGATACATAGAAATAAATTTAGTTCTTAATTGGGAGAAATGTCACTTTATGGTGGAACATGGTATTGTGTTTAGAACATGTAGTGTCGATCAGGGGAATAGAAGTAGATAAAGCAAAAGTTGACCTTATTTCTGCTTTACCTTACCCCATAAGTGTAAGGGAAGTGCATTCTTTTTTGGGTCATGCAGGGTTCTATAAGAGATTTATCAAGAACTTTTTAAAAATTGGAGCACCCTTGTTCAAATTATTGCAGAAGGATGTAGCATTTGACATCACCAATGAGTGCAAATTGGCCTTTGATAAATTGAAGGAGTCATTGACATCACCGTCTGTCATCCAACCGTCAGACTAGAGCCTCCCATTTGAAATAATATGTGACGCGAGTGACTATGCAGTGGGAGCGGTGTTGAAGCAAAGAATTGGCAGGGCAGCACATGCGATCTACTATGCATCGAAGGCGTTGAATGGAGTTTAGCTTAACTACTCTACAACGGAGAAAGAATTACTAGCTGTTATTTTGCATTAAAAAAGTTTAGACCTTATTTATTGGGTGCAAAAGTAACAGTTTTCTCTAATCATGCAGCTTTAAGGTACTTGATGATAAAGAAGGATGCGAAACCAAGGCTCATCAGATGGATCCTGCTCCTTCAAGAGTTCAACTAGGAGATTAAAAATAAAAGTGGGGCAGAGAACTTGGTTGCTGATCACTTGAGCCGCTTGCTTGCACATAAGGAGGAGCAACCATTGAGAGAGACATTTCCAGAGGAGCAACTACTTGCTTTTGATTCGGCTCCACCTTGGTATGCAGATATCGTGAATTTCTTGGTAACTAACCAATTGCCTGCAGGTTGGCCCAAGACTAGGAGAGACAAATTGAAAAGTGATGTCAAATACTACATTTGGGATGACCCCTACCTGTGGAGGCAATGTTCGGACCAGCTATTAAGAAGATGTGCCAGTACAGGTGAATTTCACTCTATTTTAAATTGTCATTCGTTTGCATGTGGAGGGCATTTTGGGCCTAAGCGAACCGCTCGTAAGGTACTGGAGAGCGGCTTTTATTGGCCCACCATTTTAAAGATGCGTACTTATTTTGTAAATCTTGTGGTAAGTGTCAAAGGGTGAAAAATATTTTTCGTAGGGATCAAATGCTTCAAACTCCCATGTTGTTTGTTGAAATTTTTAATGTTTGGGGTATGGATTTCATGGGTCCTTTTCTCTCGTCTTTTGGTTGCCTATACATCTTAGTTGGTGTAGATTATATCTCTAAGTGGGTAGAAGCAAAACCCACCCGTATTAATGATTCTAGAGTGGTTGCAGAGTTTCTAAAGTCTAATATATTTGTCCGCTTTGGGATGCCAAGAGTTATGGTAAGTGATAGGGGCACGCACTTCTGTAATAAGACTATTGCTGTCCTATTTCAAAAATATGGCATGCTCCACAAGGTATCCGCACCGTATCACCCGCAGACAAATGGTCAAGTCGAAATGTCAAACAGGGAGATCAAATCAATCTTGGGGAAGATGGTACGCCCAGATAGGAAGGATTGGAACCTGAACTTAGAAGATGCACTATGGGCGTACCGCACAACGTATAAGACGTCGATTGGGATGTCCCCGTACAGACTTGTCTTCGGTAAGGCTTGTCATCTCCTTGTGGAGTTCGAACACAAGGCGTTCTGGGTGGTGAGGCAATGCAACATGAACCTGGAAGAGGCGGGGGTCAAAAGGAAATTGCAGCTATAAGAATTGGAAGAGATTAGGAGTGAGGCATACGAGAATGCCACGATTTATAAGGAGAAGAGCAAAATCTTTCATGATCAGCAAGTCTCAAGGAAATCTTTTGTAGTGGGGCAAAAAGTCCTCTTGTATCACTCGAGACTTAAACTTTTTCCCGATAAATTGCATTCTCGTTGGATTGCTCCATTTGTCGTTTCTAATGTGTTTCATTATGGTGTAGTGGAAATCCAAAGTTTAAAAACGGAGAAAAAGTTCGTGGTGAATAGCCATCGTCTCAAACCTTATTACGAAGGATTCTCTGTTGAAGAAGTAGAAGTTGTACACCTCAAGGATCCAATTTATCTTGTTTGAGGGTTCCGGTCATATCTAACCAAAGACGTTAAAGAAAGGCGCTACTTGGGAGGCAACCCAAGGCTATTTGTTTTAGTTCTCGTACATTTTTGGAGTTTTTGTTAAGTGTTGGTGTCGTTTAATAGTTTGTTGTTTTGTGGCAGGAAGTTAGCAGTTAGAAGTGCCTTAGCGTGGTCACGTCTAAGGAAAACAGTTGGAATGCGACGGTCAGAAGATTCTATAGCAGTTAAGTGTGCCCACGCCAGGTGATCACGCTTAAGGGAAGAAAATTATCGTTCGCGGTCAGAAGACTCTACAGTAGTTAGGCGTGCTCACGTCAGGTGATCACGCCTAAGAAACTCAATTTCCGAAAATTGGTCAAAAGACTCTGTAGCAATTAAGCGTGCCCACGCCAGGTGGTCATGCTTAAGGATCAAAAAAAATTTTGACGGATGGTCAGAAGACTAGAGGGCAGTTAGGCATGCCCACGCCTAATATAGAGGTTCTTTGTTATGTATATAAATATAAAAAAAAAGAGAGAGGAAAAAAAAGGGGTGTGAAAAGACGAAATTGCCCTCAATCCGAAAAAAAAAAGAAAAAAAGAGAGAAAAAGAAAAAAAGTATAAAAAATTAATTAAAAAATAGAATAAATAAAAAAATTTAAAAGAATAAAAAAAATTTAAAAATTTTTAAAGAACAAAATTTAAGAAATTTTTTTTTCAATAAATAATAATAAAAAAAATAATGAATAATAAAAAAAAATTAGGAAAGGGTCCCTGTAGCCCTACTTCTTCTCTTCTTCTTTCTTTTCTTTTTCTTTCTTCTTCCTTTTCTTTCTTTCTCTTCTTCTTCTTTCTTTCTTCTTCACTTGCCGCCGCTTTTCACCTGCTGTTCGTCGCACATCAGCCACCATGCCCTCGCGCCCATTAGCTGTGTAGACACCAAATTTTTACTCTGTTATCTATTTATTATTTTTGTTTTAATTTATCTCATAATTTCATTTTAGACATTTTTTAGCATTTTAGACATCAAATCTTTTAATTTAGTTTTATTTGTTAATTTTATTCATTTTTGCTTATTAGTCTCTTAATTTTATTTTAAGACATTTTAGCATTAAAATTTTAAATTTTTAGATTCAATTTATGAAGGTTTGTTGTTTATTTATTTTGTTTAGAAAAAAAAAGAAGAGCTCATGTACCATGCTGCACTTGATCCAAACTCTTTCTTCATATTGCATTTCAAAAAAAAAAATAGAAGCATGAGACGGAAAAAAGGACAAGAAAATTTGCAGCGGCCTCTTGGGAATATTCCAGGAAAAAATCATCATCAGACGGCTCAAAAAGGCCATAAGAAAGGTAGCTTCATCCCCCACCCTTGCTGTTGAGGGTTTGAGAGGGTGTTTGGTATAAATAGAACAGAAAACGTAGGCTTTGGGAGGGAACCTGTTGGCGGCTGAGTGAAAGGAAAGTTGAGGGAGAGTGAAAGGGAGAGAGCCGAGAGAGGGGTAGCCATCGGTTGAGAGGAAAAGGAAAGGAAGGCAGCTGGGGGGGGGGGAGTCGGCCGGAGGAAAAAACTAGAAGATAAGGGGAAAAGAAAAGAGAAGAGGCCGAGAGAAAACAGGTGGAGGAGTGACGGGCTGAGTGGAAAAGCTTCGGAAAAATGAAAGAGAGACCGAGAGGAGAATTTGGGGAGAGTTGGCGGGAGCAAAAATCTAGAATCAAGGGAGTTGCGGGCTGAGGAAGTAAAGGAAAGAAGAGAGCTTCAGGGGAGTCATCCGGGAGAGCTAAGGAGGAGGAA